TCTTCGAAATCCTGCCTGTACTTCTGGTAGTTCTCGGTCCACATACTGCTGGAGCCTAGCTTGTAGGATTTTGAGCATCACTTGGCTAGCATGTGAAATGAGTGCAATGGTGCGGTAGTTTGAACATTCTTTGGCATTGCCCTTCTTTGGAATTGGAGTGTAAACTGACCTTTTCCAATCCTGTGGCCACTGTTGAGTTTTCCAAATTTGCTGTCATATTGAGTGTAGCACTTTTACTGCATCGTCTTTTAGGATTTTGAATAGCTCAGCTGGAATACTGTCACCTCCTCTAGCTTTGTTGTTGCTCAGACTTCCTAAGGCCCATTTGACTTCACATTCCAGGATGCCTGGCTTGAGGTCAGTGACCGCCCCATCGTGGTTATCAGGGACATAAAGCTCTTTCTTGTATAGTTCTTCTGTGTAATCTTGCCACCTCTTCTTAATCCCTTCTGCCTCTGTTAGGTCCCTGCCATTTTGGTCCTTTATCATGCCCATCTTCGCATGAAGTGTTCCCTTCACATCTCCAACTTTCTTGAAGAGATCTCTGGTCCTCCCAATTCTATTGTTTTCTTCTATTTCTTTGCACTGTTAGTTTAAGAATACCTCCTTATCTCTTCTAGCTATTCTCTGAAATTCTGCATTCCATTGGGCGTATCTTTCTCTTTCTCCCTTGCCTTTCGCTTCCCTTCTTTCCTCAGGTATTTGTAAAGCTTCCTCAGGCAGCCATTTTGCTTTCTTGCAATTCTTTTTCTTTGGGATGGTTTTAGTTGCTACCTCTTGTACAACTACCATTAACGGCTCCTGTACTATTCATCGCCTGTGAGGCTTTAAACTGTTATTGCCTGTATCTGTGTGAATAATTAGGAAGAGTGCTCCACTGGGAGAGAAATGAGGTGGGGAATTGCTTTGAGCTAGCCCTGAGCCAAGGAGGTGGAGTTGTTGAGGCAGGCTGTGGCGTGGCTGGGCTGGGCTTGGGGGGAAGTGTACGTTCGATAGGCAGAGTGGCGTAGAACCTGATGCTGTGGAGAAAATACGTGATAAACAAGGAAAAGCTGAAATAGTCCGCCTTTACTGAAGATGCTGATGATATTTATATTCCACCTATTCTGGGTACTGGGACAGAAGGGAGTCTTCAACATTAAAAGCTTATACAATTAAACATTAATAGGAATATACGCAAGTTAAAGTGTAACTATATCAGCTAGAATATTAACATTATATACCAATATTAAAAACCAAAATAAAAGCAGTACATGGAGCAGAACTCGACCGACCAGTCCCACAGGCCTCGTCTCTTCCCAAGCAGTGCGGTGCAGTGGTTAAGAGCGCAGGACTGGGACTCGGGCGACCAGGGGCTAGCCCTGCTCAGCCCGGGCACCCACTGGGCGACTTTGGGCGAGTCATAGAATTGCAGCCCAGCCTACCTCCCAGGGTTGTTGTTGTGGGGATACGACTGAGAGCAGCAGGAGGAGAATGATTTAAGCTCCTTCAGTATTATACCAGAGACTCTTCCAAAGGGCATGTGGGACTTATTCAAATATATGATAGCACCGGCAAGAGTTCTTCATTGGTGTGGAAGGCAGAAGACTGCCCACCTGCCAGAGGGGGAAGAACAAACTAGCTGATGTGCAATAATGGCAAACTAACCAATTATATAAATAGAACCTGCCAAAGGAGGTAATGACAAAATGGAAAGCAGTTTAAACAGAACTTGTAAAAATATTGTTAGTGACTTTGATCTCAATTCTAAAGCTATGGTGTTATTTACAATTAGTGTGATCATTTAGATCAACCTGTTCACAAATCTTAATTAAGAACTGATGACTTAGCTGTGGGTAGAAGAGATAGAAATGTTTGCTTATTCATGAATTTAACAGCTGTTGAAATTATATGTTATATCTGAGTAATATCTTTATTTGTATCTTCTCTTTTGTGCAAATAGAGAATGTGTAAGCTGCTTTGAGTTCTTTAAACAAGAAAAAGGTGGGATATAAATCTAATAAATGAGTAAGTCCCGCAGGAACAGAAGAGTGTTGCCTGCCTCTGGAAGGACAACCCAGACAGTCCCCCTGCGTCCCGCCAAGCATCCGTCCAAGAACCCACAGCACAGGCAGGGAACCAGGGGTTCTCCAGCCACGCGGGGCTCCGCGAGCCCCAGCTGGTGCTTTGAACTGCCTGGAAGTAGGGCGGGAGCCCAGGTGGCCATGCAGCGAGGGCGCCTGCCACAGCCTGCCCCAGGCGCCCGTTGAGCAGCGGCCCTCGAAGCAGCTGGCCTCCCTGGGCACCCTGCCCGGCACTGGCCGGGCCAGGCAGCTGCCAGGGCTTCCAGTCAGTGCCTGCTGCGGGCCGGCCTCGTGTGCCACCGCGCAGGGCCCCCGCCGGAGCCTGCAAAGGGAGCTTGCACCAGCCACCCTTTCGCTGATCGTGGCGCCAGCTGGCCACAGCGCCCTCCAGCTCGCAGGCTCGGCTCCCACCGGTGCCTCTCCTGCCTGCCTCCCTTCCCCAGGAAGACGGCTGCCCCTTGGGCTCAGGCCTCCCTCTTTGCTGGGTTCTGAGGTCGCTATTTAAGGGCTTTCTCACCTCCCTTTTGTTACCTGAACAATAAGTAACCAGGTAGTTAGTTATAAACTCAAAGGGAACAAGAGCCTGGTTGATAATTTATAGCAGCATCTCAAATTTAAATGGAAAGTAAATATCAAGTTGTTAGCATTAAAAGAAAACCCAATCCTGAGCGCAACATCCAGGTTCTGATGGTGATGATATTTCTGCCTCATGCGTCTCCCCTTCTTTTACCTCCCACTGTGCGTCTTTCTTTGCTCTGCTCTTCCTGCTTTACACTCCCGCCCCGCAAAGCCCCCCAGGCCTGGCTGCAGGACGGCGCTGCGGAGTCCCTTCCTTAGCACCAGAAGGACCTTTGGAAACTGATTTGGGATCCCTGCCTGGGACCAAGCCTGGACTGAAGACTGACACCTCCGCCACCATTCCTGGACTTTGACCCTGCAAGTGGCATCTGGGTTTATTCTGCTGAATCCCCCGGACTTGGAAGCGGCAGGGAGGAGGAAAGGTAAGACGGGACCCCGGCAGTGGCTGTGCAGTCGAATCCCACCCTGCCTGGCTCCGGCGGGCGTCTGCGTGGCCTGGCACCGCAGAAGCGATGCTGCCGGTGAATTCCAGGCCCCAGCAGGAACACATGCGAAGACTTGGCCTGCTCCTCCTTCAGGCTCCCCCTCCCAATCTGGCCTTCCTAAATGGAACGGCTTGTTATTAATGTAAGCTTTAATTCTCCTGTGAAACGTGTTCCTTGTTCCAGAAGGAAACCTGTCTTTAATGTTTTCCTTCAAAGGATGGCAATCGCGCTTGAACGGTGCGTTCATTGCGCGCAACATGGCATTACTCAGAAAGCGTGTGTGCTCTTTAAGATGGCCGCTTTCTCCAGCAGGGGCTGTTTTCCAGACTCCGAGGCCAGGAACCCGCCCAGTGCTGGCCTGCCTGCAGACAAGCCCCGCTCAGGGCAGAGGCTTCTGGCGAGACCGGCACGGTGTGGGCGGGCAGTGAGGCAGGCACGCCACCTTCCCCGACAGTTTGCCTGCCATTCTCCGTCTGCTGGACTGCCAGACAGGAGGAGGACCCACGGGGTCCCTGAGGCAGGCTCGGGGGCGAGCAGATGCCCGGTTGCCCAAGGGCAGAGACGAAACGACGCTCTCCGGCCCGCCTGTGAGAAAGCAGAGCAGTCAGCCTCTCGCCTCCGCGCCCTTCCCCGGCAGGGGCCTCCCCTCCTGTGCTCCCCGCCACGGGTAGCTGCTGCTTTCAGGGCCAGCTATCCTTGCTGGGAAGCAGCCTCTTGCCCGGGGGGCGGGGGGGGGCAGGGGGTGTTACTGTGACACGGAGCCCGCCAAGGCACTGCTGCTGCTATCAGTTTGCTTTCTATGGGCAAAGTCCAAACCGTTTCAACAAACGGCTGAGCAAGCGATGTGGAATGGAGCCTCCCTCGCCAGAGGTTGGGCACAGAGTGCTGAGCCACAGGGCACAAATGCCGGCGCCTCGTCCTAGGGCAGCCCGACAATGAGGGGGCAGGAGCCTCAGACGAGGAACGGATTTGGGGTGCTGCTGAGTGATATCGCAGCCCCGTAGCCTGAGTGTCCCATGGACCCTGCCGGCCTTGCGGAGGCGCCCTCTGCCCCAAAGGCGGCTGCACACACCTTAAAAGATGTGAGTTGAGAAGCAAGGGAAACAAACGTTCATAGCCTTTTAAGTAATCACGAAACAGCGCACCTAAGGTTTCTGGGAGCACGGCCTGAGAACTGGGACAACATGGCAGCTGCATGATGCGCTAGGGCAGGGTTCCCCCCCTCGTGCCTGCCAGGCGCTTTCGAATGGCAAAACCCAGCGTTCCCAGTCAAGGTCCCTGCTGGATGAGGACACTGGGAGTTGCAGTCCGAATGGTTCCCAAGGCCACTAGGTCCGAGGAGTTCCAGGCTGCGGTGCTTCGGTGGCCTGTGCGGCAGCCACCGCTCCAATGGCTGCAGCAAGGCATGGGGGCCGCCGCGGCCGGGTGGTGGAGCGCTGGCCTGGGGCCCAGGACACTGGTTCGAGACCCCGCTTGGCCGTGGCACTCGCCGTCACCCTCTTAGTTCAGCCCAGCCTGCCTCGCAGGGTTGCTGTGGCAAGGACGCAGTGGGGCGGGAGGCCGCCTCGGGCTTCTTGCTGAGATGGCCCTGCGGTGCAGAGGAGCGAGAGTGGCCGCGGTGCCCGGCCCGGCTTGGGGCGCAGCCCATGCCTGTGGCCACTCCACGGGGGCGGCAGATCCCAGCCTCGCAGATCCCCCGCAGGGCCAGCCGCAGCCTGGGGCTGGCGGGCAGAAGCGGGGCGAAACGGGGGCTTGGGGGGCTCGGCGCCCTCGCACCGCCGAGCCGAGCCCGCGGCGCTGTGCGCGGGGAGGGATGCCCACCACAAGCCGAGCGAGCCCGGCCGGCCAGCTGAGCTCTCGCTCGCCCACTCGCTCGCTCGAAGGGGAAGCTGCGGCACGCCTCCCGCAGGAGACCGGCGCGCTGCGGCGTCCCCTGCTGGCTGCGCGAAGCAACCTGGTGCCAGAGATCCCCGGGGAAGTGGTGCGGATCTGCCCGAGACCTACCAGGAGCGACGCATGCCACCCTCGGGGCAGAGCCAGGTTTGTCGCGGCTTCACCCTGCCGCTGCATTGGCGTTTCCATGAGGAAGACCCCAAGGCCCCAGCCTGAAGGCTTAATGGTCTGAGGAAGAGGATTTCCTGCCGTGAGAGTGAAGGCTGAGGCTCGTGCCCTCGGCCACTTCACCTGCTGCACAGGAAAGCAATAGTGGTCTGGGAAGGGGCTGCGAGAGCCACTCCGTCCCTGTGGGAATGGAGGAGCTATTGCTTCTGGAAGGAAACGTGTCCATGCACAGCAAGAACAGCGGTCTTAGAAGTGAATGACTAGTTTACATGTTTTGAGGAAAGCCAGTTATTGGAAAACGTCCCTAGTGTGGACGAACAGCAAGATTAAAAGATGCTGAACAGAGAGTTGCCAGAATGGATGAAGTCCAGTGTGGCCACTGCATTCTGCATATTCACATTTGGAACTGTGGATTCTTTTCTTGGTGTCTGGTCTACTAGCCGGAGGTAGGGGGACAAGGGGGATGCTTTGGTCCAGTCTTTCCCAGCCTGTTTTGGACTGCAACCCCCACCTGCCCGGTGCATCTAGAGGGCTCCCGGGTGGCCAAGGCTGGGGCAGCCAGAACGCTCTCCACCAGGTACCTGCCACGGTTTGTTCCTTTGTGCAGCTCAGCACGTTTCTGCCCCAGGGCCAGGCCCTCTGGCTGGGGTGGATCCAGGAAGAATGAAGCAGGAAACCCTCCAGAGTTGGTCCAGCTGCCAGTATGGCTGCCTGTGTGAGCCGATTCAGATCAACAAAGTCTGGTGGATCTAAGACAAATGGCCAGCACCGTCCATAAGATTAGACTTACAGGGTTGCAGGGAGAATCCCAGAGATGCTTTGCATGAAGCGCTTTGAATGCCTTAAACATGCTGTGTAAAATGTTAGGAGTCACTGAAATGGCTTTACCGTATGTGAAAGATTAGATACATCTGAAGTCACCAGCACAATTATTATCATTATTGCATCATGTTTATATCCTTCCTTCCTTCCTTCCTTCCTTCCTTCCTTCCTTCCTTCCTTCCTTCCTTCCTTCCTTCCTCTTGGAGGTTTCCTCCAGTCCATTGTATCTTCACAACAACAACCCTGTGAGGTAGGTTAGGCTGACGGTCTGTGGTTCAGAGTCACAGGGTGGGTTACATGGCTGAGTGAGGACTGGAGCCCGGCTTGTCCAACCACAACAGGGAACTCATTGGGAATGCACCCACAATACCCCTTCCCAAACCTTGGTATATGGGGGCCTGCCCCTTCTCTTTTTTCATTAGCATTCATGAGAGGAGAGGAGAGGAGAGGAGAGGAGAGGAGAGGAGAGGAGAGGAGAGGAGGCGTTTTGCTGACTTTTCTGACTTCTGAAAGGAGACACCTGATAAATCATCAGAAGTTAATGATCAAAAAGCTTATCTCAGTCTTTTAGTTTATAAATTTATAAGACAAAAGAGAAATAATAAAGCCACTGGATAATTAGTAACCAGGCCAGTCCCGAGGCTCTGGAAACCAAGCTGACCCAAGATCCCAACACAGGCTCAGGGACAGGTGGAGGGAAAGGTGGGAAAGGGGCGCAGGGGTCACAGTGGGTGTGCGCATGAAGAGGAACGCCAGGAAGGGAAAGGCACAAGGGAGGTCACCGTGGGGCTGCTCCAGGCAAAAAGGAAGAAAGGGACTGGATGGCTCCACAGGCCTCTTTCCCTCCTCTCACAGGTAAGAGTTCGGTGCAGCACACCTTCTTCCGCTGCTGCCGGAGGGCTCAGAGCAGCCCACTGCCTTGGCTAGATCTTGGAGTGCACATGGAAACCTGTCGGAGGCTCTCCAGGCGTGCAGATGTCTCCCCGCCCGCCCCCCCCCCCCGCCCTCGCGGCTCTAGCACAGCCCTTCACTCCCAGATGGACGGCCGGCACCGTCGGGTCTCGCCTGGGTTTTGTCAGCACCGGAATCGGACTGCTGAACAAACCGGATCGCTGGGGTGATCAGGGCACTCCCCGTGGGCTCGTGTTTTCCCAGGTGGTAAACACCTGTGCGAATCCTTTCCTGGGTGTCAGCCCCCCGGCCCCTCGGCAAGGAAGGCCCGTGGTTGCAGAGCAGCCTGGTGTTCTGGAAGGACCTGGTGGCTTGTTTTGGGAAGGCCGTGCTTTGTTAGCGAGGGCAGACGGCAAAGTAAGCGATGTGAGGTGGCGCATCACGCCCCAGGACCGAAACGTCCTTCAAGAGCAGAGGGGCTGTCTTTAAGACAAGGGGCCAAAGGCAAGCAGTGGACACTCTCCGGCGCAAACCGGGGGACAAGCGGGAGGGCTTCTTCCACCACCCCTGGATGCACGAAGGTCAGCTAAGACTCAGGATCAGAATGTCAGCGTGAGCAATGGCGGCGGCTGCACATAAGCAGAGACTCGGCGTGTGTGAAGTCCAGAGGCCATTAGGCTCCCATGGGGAAGGTTGGCATGAATTTCCAGAGAGTTCCCTGCACAGAGTTCGTGTGGAGGAGCAGTGTGAGTTTTTGGGACGTGCCTGTCTTCAGAGGAACAGCAAGATGGCTCATAAGTGTGCCAGAGCCGGGGCTGAGCAACTCGTCTCGGGGCACCAGCTCTGTCACAGGAGCCGTTAACCTGATGATCCCTACCAAGACTGCCTGCGTGCAGACAGCCGACCCCTCATGGGGCTTGCAGGGCCCTTTGGAGGGTGCGGTGGCTCCCCCGCCGCCTCCGACCACACGCGTGATGAGCGAAATGGCGGACAGCAGGGGGGAAGGGTTGCTGAGAGCGTGCCGAAGGCCTTCTCTGGCTCAAGGAGCACGGCTGCCCTGAGCTGGGTTTGGGCCACTCTCTTGGCCCGTGACCAAAATTCTGGGCTTGGCCTTCTCCTCCTCCTCCTCTTAAAAAATAATCTCAATCGGACATGGAACTGCTTAGGTTGGGTCTTGCCAGGCACTTCTGGGACTGGCAGTTGCTAATGCTTTAGAAAAGCTGTGGACCCTTGCTGGAGAGGGAAGAGAGGGGAAAGGGGCGAGAGGGAAGCTGGGGAGAGGAGGGGGCGAGAGGATGGGTGCCCTTACTGTAAAAGTCTGTCCACCACAGCCTTCTGGTGAGCAGCCTCCTCTGGGCTCAGGTTCTCCAGCTCCTTCATGATGGGAGGAGTGAAGTCTTCTCCATCATCAGACGTTTCCTCCTCGGACATCCTTGACTCCACCAGCCCGTTGGCAAGAGCCGGGAGGTCAGCACAGGGGTCTCTCTTCTCGGCTGGGGCCGTGCCGACGGGCTGCAGGCCTTCGCTGCGGTGGGCGTAGGGGTCCGTCTCCGTCAGGGCTTTGATGAGGGTCTCCTTGCTCAGCCCAGATCCCAGCAGCGCTCCCAGCAGCTCCACCTGAAGATGGGTCAGCTTTGAAACCATGATCTTTATTTCTGCCCTCTGCTTCTAGAATCCACACTTTGGCCGCGCGTGCCACAAGCTCTCTCTTTTGCTAGACCATGTTCCCGAAGTCACGTCCAAACATCAACAGAGCAGAACTGGCCACAGATTGTGCCTTTGCAACCCCCACCCCCCAAATTCCCAAAGACACGAAAAACCTGGCTGCCTCAGGCCCCCCACCAACCGTCCTGAGTCAGTGCTGATAAAGGGACCCTTGCCTGTCTGTTTACATTGGAGCAATGCAAATTCTCCGAGGTTCATATTTATCTGTGTGCTTAGGCAAGTGACTGAACTTTGGACTTCAGCATTGCGACAGCAGTTCACAAAGTGCGCTGGGAGGGAGCGAAGGGTGGGGGAGAAAGACGAGCGTGGAGCAGTGCGGCGGGTGGCGCGGAGGCCGTGGGGCGCAGCAGCGCCCTGTCCCCACGCCTTTCGAGGGAGGGCCCGGGCTTGGTGGAGGTGGACGGCCAATTGTTCCCTGGAAATTTGGCTTGTGGGTACAGACAGGGCAGGCCCGAAATACGGTGGTGCCAGAAGTGCCCCTTCTAGGTGCGACTCGTCCTTTCGAGCCAATTAATGAGTGTCCCTCTGGTGGTCTCTGGGAGCCTTGCGCAGCATCACTGTGCCCTTTCTGGCAGATTGTGTCCCGTGTGCCGCCACTGCCTCGACACCCCCCAGAAGCTACCCTCTGCCCGACCTTATCGCCACCTGGCCTTACCGTACAACGGGACCCTCCTCGTCGTCACCTGCTCGTTCTTCGCCGTTTTAGTGCCGTTCCTTCCGCTTATAGCAGCGTAACCCCAATATTCCCGCAAGGGCCACGTGCAACGGCTCCCTTCAGGACTCGCCCAACCCCACCCCCTGAATGTGGCGTGTCAGGAGGAAGGAAAGGAGCCCAACAGGCCCGCAGGGGAGCTTTGTGCCCTGCGACCCGCACTTCTCCGAGCGCGCCGAAGGCCTGGGCTCCTTGGGGAGAGCTCGTTCGGCCACCATTTTCCTGCGCAGCCTTCAGCAAACCCTGCTGGGTTCCTTGCCTGCGAAGCGGGAGCAGCACAGCCTGTTTTCAGAGGTTGCGGTGGGAAAAACGAGGCCGGGACTGAGCTGCCTCTGCCCACCTGGGCCTCCAGAGGTAGCCTGACGGCCAGCCGAGCAGCTGCGGCATCAGCCCCCATTTTCAGATCCTGAAGTGCCCACTCATGGGTGCGAGCGCATCCACACTCAGCCTCAGGTAGTGGCATGAAAGTCACGAAGGATCCTTTTTCAGGGCAGAAGGTGGACTACCAGGGTCCATAGCTGTCAGCAGCCACTGGTGTCCCCCCCCCCCGCCTTTTCATTTGGGAGGGGGAAATAACACGGAAAAATCCCTTTCCCATTAGAATCATAGAATGGTAGAGTTGGCAGGGGCCGGAAAGGCCACTGGGTCCAACTCCCTGCTCCATGCGGGACCCCAAGTGAAGGCCTTGCTGGCAGAGGGCTGCCACACGGCTCTTGTCCACGCTTCCAGTGAGGAAGAGTCCACAACCTCTTGAGCTCCTGGGTTGCATTTCGGCACTGCTGTAACGGCCAGGAGGTTTATTTATTTATTTGGACAACTTATATGCCACCCCATTGCATGAGCCTCGGGGCGGCTTGCAATCTTACAAGTTGACTTTATTCAACCCAGAAATGTCGCATTTCGAGTGTGGAAGCCACAGAGCAGGACAAAGCTTTGTAAGCCTTGACGCCAGAGTCAACACCTGGGTGCTTCCCCCCAGGTGGCCACTTTGCTGAGTTTAGAGGGTCTGCAAGGAAGGCCGTCCTGGCTGCACGGCTAGGCTCCCAACATGTGTGTGTGTGTGTGTCGGGGGGGTATATATTTCTGGAGGGAAGGGTAGAATCCTGCCTGTGCTATCCCGGAGGCTGCTGAATCGGAGCCTCTGAGGGCACGTCCTTGTGCAGCGTAGAAACAGGGCGTGTTCTTAGGTGAACCTGTCATAAGGTGAACCTCATGCCCAAGAGCAGTGCAGCCAGCGCTGGGCAGCTGTCAGGGGGGCCAGCTAAGGGGGATGAGGCTGCCGGGCCCAGGCAGATGCTGGTGCCAGAGCCAAGCTCAGGACGGATTTGCATGCGGTAAGAGAGTCATTTGCACTTAGAAGAGGTTCAGTGCATGTTGCCTTTTCAGATATGTGGCCAACCACAAGGTACAGGGACAGGATGCTTTAGGAGAAGTTAGGGACTTTTTGAATTTCTCTGGAATTAATCAGAACATCATTGCTGTTCTTTCAGAAGGGAGGCACTTTGACCTGGAGTGCATGGCTCCAACGGCTGGACAATGGCCAGCTCCATGGCTAGACCACCTGGACAGACATCAGTAGGCTTATAGCAAAGTGGATACCCAGCTATTAGATAAAAAGCTGGCAAAGGGTGTATGGCTATAAAAGGAACTTTTGCCTGATAGGTGGAGTTCCTGCTTTAACCCAACTTTAAAAGAACTTACCTTCTCGGGGACAGTGCAGAGCCTCTGCTGGCCCTTAACACTACGTGAGGCCTGTGTGAATTGATCTTTACAAGAAAAAGAACTTTATTTCATTCTAGTGGGTTGGATATTCAGACAATATGTTTGTATAAGAAACTCAGCACTGTATTGTGTCAAAGCAGTCACATCTCCTAGTCTGATTAAAATTTTAGTAGGCAAGAAGAAAATCCTTGCCCATCCAGACAAGGATTTCAGCACACCTGCATGGCCTCTTTCCCCAAATGTTACTGGGGGTCCAGTGAAGTAGATCATTTCCTTGCTGCCCTCCAATGCTCTTTCTCTGCGTCCTGCGAGAAAAAAGAAACTGCTGAGGAGGAAAAGAGGGCGTAGCTGCCCAAAGCCTTTGTGACCGGGGACTGTGGGGGTGCTTCCCCTGCCTGGAAGTCCCCTTGCTGGAGAACCCCCTCTCTGCCATGGGAGGCAGGGAAAGCCCCCCTGCAGCACCCCCATTCCACAGAGGGAAGGGGCTGCATCAGCATCACAGCGAATGCCTCCCCTCCCCGAGGTGCCAACTCTGTTGTCTAAAATATACTCCGGGTGGAAGGGAAGCCCCTTGGCATTGATGGCACCAGGCTGGCTCTGGTCCCTCTGTGACATGGCCGGAGCCCAGCCTGGGCTCGGCAGGCACCGGGCGCGGCTGTGGCGGGGCTGCTGGGAGCGCGCTCTGGGGCCGCACTCAGGTGAGCAGGGCACAAGGTGCAGGCCGGCCAGCTGGGCGGCACCAGCGCTCTTGGGCAGCTCCAGGAAGCCCAGTCTTCTGCTGGCTGCGAGCGAGAAAAAGCAGCTCCTCCGGCTGCGAGCACTGCATGCGCTGCTCCGTGGCTGGCGGCCCGAGGGAGCAGCCTGTGCTCCCCCTCCCCTCCAGAGTGCTCAGGGTCTCCTCCGGCCAGGCCTCCTCCTCCCTCCGCAGGTGCAGTGACCCAGACCTCTCCGTGCAGGCCTTCCTTCGCCACCTTCGCCGCCGGCTCCAGGAATCCCTGCCGCCTCTTCTGGCAGCACGTCAGAGACCACTCCTCAGCTGGAGCGCAGATGCTTGTGCTGGCCAAAGCGGCGGCACCCCCAAGGGAAAGCAGGCACCGGGAAGCTAGCTCAGGATTACCGGCACCTCCATGGGAACCCACACCTCGATCCTCCTCCTGGGAAGTTCCAAGTGGCTCCGGGCAGCCAGCTGGGCTGCATCCCATGGTGCCAGAGCTCCTGGCGCCCAGCAACCAGGCAAGTCCGGAGTCCCCTGTGCTCAGAAACGGTCTCCAGCACTGCTGGGCAGTTCCCCTCCCAGTCCAGCGGTCCATCTCGCAGTTCCTTGCAGCGCCGCTGCCCTCCCCAGCCAACCAGGCTCCCGCATGGCCCTTCCGACTGCCTGCCGGTAGCGGGCTCCCAGCTGCCCTTTGCCACACAGGGGGCCAGGCAGCACCTGGAGCAGCATGTCCAGCGCCTGGCTCTGCAGAGACGGTGGCGCCTTCCTTGGCGGGTGATGCAGCCTCCCCAGTCAGTCCTCAGGCCCAAGGTGGGACGGAGTCTCCAGGGTCCACCGCACTGGAGGGACTCCATGTGAAGAAGACTCTCTTTGGGAAATTTTAATCAGTCTAGTTTTGAATTTGACAATATTTAAACACAAGACTAAAACAATATGAGGGTTTTTTTTTCTCGAGAATGTGGAAAAATTGTAACTTGCAGATTCATTTATCCCTACTTCATACTGAAATATTTTCTTGTAGTTCTAATTTGTTTCAGCTTTAATTTAGATTTTGGGATGACAGCCTCTTCTTGCTGTTCATCTCTGGTAGTTTTTCCTCTGGAGAGCTGGAAGTATTGATTTGTAGACTGTGCTGCGCACACATGCCTTTCTTTGTCCCGTTCCTGCCTGTAGGAAATGGCATTTTGCAGGATTTTGTGGTGCATCAAAAACCTGCAAACCCTCTTGAACCAGAGCAGGATGGAAGAAATGAAGGGAGCGACCACAGGCTAAAATAGCAGTGGAAAGTCCCCAACTCTTGATGACCATTCCAAAAACAAAGGAATGTTACAAAACATTCCCAATACTTAGCCCAAATTAATGAAAATAAAGAGAGCATTCTATTCGTGGCACACATCAGCTGGGCTTTTTAACCAGTGTTGTTCTCCAGAAATAAAATATTGCTGTAAAGAATACACCAAGGAGTTTCGGGTTCAGATTCCTACTTCAGTTGGGTGACATCCACTTAAGCATTCTCACTGATGAGGAAACAACGCAGGGCGAGAAAGTCCGCAGGTGCCCCGTCCCAGACTCCTTCATGGAGAGGGTGGATGCTGAAGCAATGGCCGGCACAGGTGCCACAGGCAGGGTCCGGGTAGTTCCACGCAGGGCAGTTCTCTTTTCCTGAGTAGAACAAACCCCTCTGAAACCAGTGTGGCTTATAGAAGGCAAGAAGGGATTCTGCGCCGAATCTGTAAGTACCCATCAAGAGCCAAAATTGCCAGCCTTTGGGTGTTGGTGGTGCTATTTCGGATTTGACAGATTTCATGGGCACTCTTGGAAACAACTCCCAGGGCAGGGGGCTTGCCTGTTCACAAAGCAGCCACCTTTCCTGAAGGCCCATGGGTGAGGTTC